TGCCTACTCTGCTGTGTTGGGTACCTTGATCTCGCTTTTGCTGTTGCCTTTGTTATTGTACGTCTGGCTGTCTGCCCATCTGCCGCCTCTTTGTCCTGTTTGCTCCGTTACTCCCATGCCCTGGTGCGTAGTGCCTGGTGCTGGTACGTTACCCTTTGATTTTTTCTCGGGCGAGTGTGGGAAGCGTCCTCCTGCATTTTTGTGTTTGTTTTATTGTTATCGGTTTCCGAGGGCTCTTTTCTCGAACGGTCGGTGCGATACCAGTTCATTTCTTTCTTTCATTTTGTTTTCTTTTTCCGAGTGGTTTGTACCCTGTTTTTGTTTTGTTTCCCCGCGGCGTCGTATGTGCCGGGTTTCGAGACCACGGGCTCCCCATTTTTTGTGGACTATAGAGCGAATGTGAGAAACAAAAACAACAATGACACCCTCCGCCACTCGTGGTCTCGGTGCAACCCTGGGGGGCAAGAACAGACACATGTCTTGGGAACACGATGCGCACAAGTACAGCCGACAACTTCTGCATGCAGCCTCAATGCGTTATAGCGGTGACCTCCCAGTTCTCTCCGGGGAGGACACGGCGAAGTGCACGGTGCTGGAGGCCGCAGGTGACGGCAATTGCTCGCTTCACAGCATCTACAGGCTGCTGCACCCCGAGCGAGATAGTGTCGTGGGTGCAACACCAGAGGAAATACGAGAGACCCGCCAAGAAATGACAGATGAAAGGGCAGCAGTTGCTTTCACTGAGAAACTACGGTCAGTTACTGGACAACACGGTGTCCGAGGAAGAAATGCTGAGATTGTCCAATCTCGGCTTCGACAAGGGTTTCTACCGAAAGCGCACCTCCTCATCCGGTCGAGGTACAAGACGCAAACCAGTGAAGATTGTGCGAGAGGTGGTAGAGGACATGCACAACCAACTGGGGTACGATTATTTGGCGGTATGTCAGCTGGCGTTGGCAGCTGAGGGAAGGAGTGGAATATCGTGGTCTGGGAGGCAAAAGCTGGAGGTGGGCTTCGAATCGTGGAAATAGGCGAGACCACGGGCTATTTCATTGGCATCTTTTTGGGAAGAATTTTCTGCACCTGGTGTACAATGACTGCGGGGGCTACGGTGCAGATAGTTGTTCTGGGGGTGCGGTTACAGTGCGCAACCCGAGCAGCAGCAACGTGGCGGAAACAAAGCTGAACCACTTCAGCGCTATCGTGATCCCACAAGAACTCGTGCCATGCGCATTGCCGTACATGCTCGCACGGGGTTCCTCCCGCGAATCTGTTTTTGGGCATAGGAAGGCTGCAGACGATTTTCGCCCGTGTCCAACCACATCGGACAAGCGTTCGACGAAACACGGGGGCTCTACCATTGCTTTCGATACTGATGATGATGACGAAACCGAGACAAACAGCAGCGTGCGATCTCCCCGTTCTGCTGGAGGTGCCCGGTCAGTCACAACCTTACCCACCTGCGTATCAAAGCCGGAGGCGCCGCCGGGGAAAGCGGCGATCAAGCCCGCCACACCTCCTTCTGCCAGCAGCATGTCGGCGACGACCGGAGCGAATGAGACGCCGACGCCGGCGGAAACGCCAACCAAGCTCGCCAGCAGCAAAGCGCAAGAGCTGTCTTCAGATGCGTCGGAGTCGGAGACGCTAGAGGCACGTGCTGCCGGCGCAGATCCGTCGAAAAAGAAGCATGGAAAGCGCAAGCGCCGCGAGACTTGCCATGCTTTGTTCGCCAGCGGGAAAGGCAAGGGCAGCGCTGTGGGGCCGAGGCGAAGTCTCCCTGTGGTGTGCTCTGTAGCATGCACAGTAAGAAGGGTGGCCAGAACCGTACTTGTGGTAGGGGTGGAAATGGCGGTGATGACGAAACGTACAGGAGCCTGAGGGGGACGAGGAGATGAGTGACGGGGGTAGCGACGGCGAGTTTCCGGGGGACTTGGCAGACTATGACGAGCCGTCCGTGACTATCAAAAGCTCCCAGCAGATCAACGCTATGGTGGACAAGAAACCGGAGGGCTGGGGAAGGGCGGCCCTGAAGTTCGTCTTCGAGTTGGTGCAACACACACATGACTTCCGAAACGACCTCAAGGTAGGGATGTGTGCATTGATATTTCTAGGAGTTTTTTTTTTCGGTAAAAGCTCGCCGCTTTCCGGTGTGTTATGTATGTGTTGTCATTTGGGACCACAACGGCAGCACGAAAGCTACAGAGGTACGACTTCGTTCGGCGAAATCTTAAGTTTGGTGTCCACGGAGTAATGATATCAACTACGCACACCACCGCGCGTCGGGGGGGGGGGTTGTTTTTTGTGTCCCTCGCACGAGATTTGATTTTGATCGTGCACCACGTTGTGTATGGTTGTTGTTGCTTTTCCCACTCTGCAAACGTGTATTGCTGTGAATCATCTTGTTTCGTAGCTATCAGCAGCGTGTGTGATGCTGCTGTGGGTGTGCGATATGCTTTCTCCATCTCTCCGTCTCCCGCCGCCCCCCCGCCCCTATCTTCCTCTTGGTATGTCCACCTCGTCCTTGCAACCCCTTACCATCGTATGTTTTACGCCAGTCCACATTTTTTCCATCACGTGATGCGATGGCAACAATGGCCCCTGGCCGCTTTAGCCACCCCCGCCCCTACCCTGTTCCCTACAATAACCGGCTGTTTCCATGCAATCGTCCACAACAGAAAAAGAACATGGCCAAGTCCAAGGTCCACAAGGATGGCCCTGAGGGGTGTGGTGAGGCAGGCGAGGAGGAGAAGGGCGAGGAGGGGCTAGATGCCGCCGACGAGCACATCTGGACAACACACAGCAGGAAAGATGCAGATCGTACGGCTGGATAGGCCGGCGGCCGCTGCAGCGGTAAGGATGCTCGTGGTGGAGTTGGCGGTGGAGACTGCGACAGCAGTAGGAGCGGTACCGTGCGGAATAGGGGTGAGGGAGAGGGTGCAGCAGATGACGACAGGAGTCATACCGGAGCGGGGAGCGGTGCTGCGGGCTCATGTGGAGGTGATGGGTTTGATTTTGACGGTGAAGGCTTCTACCGAGGAGACGGGCACGGGTACCACGATTGCCACCGTAATATAGCGGGAGAGGGACACGATCTGAAGTTCAAACAGTCGAAGAAAACATTGGATGCGTTGCCGATGTTTGGCCCCGAGAAGTTGGGCAGGTTCTCGGCGGATGGGCTAGGCGAGCTGGCGTTCACGTTCCTCTGCATCATGTTCCCGGCGGCGGTGATCTCACACCTGGTCCTGAAGGTTAGTGCCAGCGCTCGTTCCTGTTGTGTCGTTGATCATGCAGGGGTAGCACTTCTTGCTTTTTGGGGGGGCTGTTCGTCACGTGTTCATGCCGTGATTGAACCGTTATGGGTGGTTGGGTTGTGGCGCATGGTACACCCTCAATTCACTTCTGAAGATTCTTGATAACCCATTCGCACGCGCCCACCACCCACGGCCACCGTCGCGACAGACAAACGAGTACTTCAAGTTCTGCACGAGCACAACGAACCCCAAGGGACAGGAGCAGCGTCACCGCGACAAGAAGAAGAAGAAAGGTAAATCGGTGTGGCCGAGGGGGGGAATCACCGCGAAGATGATGCCAGGTGTCATCGGGATCACCCTTGACACCGGACAGGTCCAGTTGCCGGAGCTGCAGGACCACTAGAGCTGTGAGTCCTTCCACGACTAACAGCTCGTGCGTGCTTGCCTCCCGCGAGACATGTTCCTCCTGATGTACGGCCGGTGTTTTCACATGGCAACCTCGGCGGCTCCAAAACGATTGCAGGACGGGACTGTTGAGGAGGGTTGGGATTCGCTACACCATATCCGGTATGAATTGTCAAGCTAGCTTGTCCGTTGAGATTGGAAATATCTCTATGCAATGACAGTTGATATTTGGCGCACATAAGGTTTCTGGCGCCCGGTTTCAAGTGCGAGGCCGTGCATGGATAGTACTTGTCGGAATCTGCTAGGATTCGCTCCCCAACGACAAAAACACAACGGTCGAAAAGAGGGGCACATGTTTTCGAATATACAGAAACACCCCCCCCCCC